CAGCGGGTGAGCCAGCAAAGCCTGACCTCTGCTCCTGTCTCCTAACCCCTCCACCTACCACCCCCACCTCCTCCCTGCCCCACCAGCCATGGAAAAATTATCTTCCACGAAATCGGTCTCTGATGCCAAAAATGTTGAAGACCTCTGGTGTAAGTGTACCATGGTATTTTTTATCCACTCATCTACTGATGGGCACTCGGTTGCTTCCATAGCTTGGCTATTGTGAATAACACTGCAATGGCACTGTTTTCATTATTTATTTCAAGGGTTGTTTTTTTTTTTTTTTTTTTTTTGGTTGGTCAGTTTAAGATTAGTCATTTTCTGTTGCTATTTCCTTGTATAATGTAAGTTTTTAACTATAATTTTGAGATGATTGAGATGTACTTGATGCACATTTTTTTTTAATTAGTGTTTCTTCAGCTTTATACCCAAAAGTAAAAGCTCTGGGTCATAATATTACCAAGCAGTACCTGGGATTCTGCTGCCCACCACCACCCTCTAGGCAAAAATTCCAGAGGCAAAAGTTTGGTGATAAAGAGTCTGTATTCAAAAGCAGTTACTTAAGCCTATCAAGTCATAGCTTTAATCACTTAAGTCTCTCAATTAAGGCTAAATTCTAACACCGGAGTTCTCCTATCTATTTCCCTGTCAGTTTTTAGTTATCTTGTTTCTATAGTGTTAGTTTACATTACAAACTAAAAACAACATAATATACAAAAACTACAGAATTTTGGAAGAATGGCAGGCTTCTACTGCAAAGCCTGTTCCCTCTAGAACACTCAAAGAATAAACCTGACACCCTCTGCCAGGATAGCCTGATCCTAGGCTGTGCCTGGAGTTCCTTCTCATATACAATATCATCCATTGGGAAATGCAGGCAGCTGCAGCACAATTATCCAGGCATCCCTGAGGAAGAAGAGTCTGAGAGCGGCCAGCAGCCAGTGCCAGTGCCAGTGCCAGCTCAGGAGCCAAAGAGCTCTCTCAGCCTGAGAGCTCTCCCTTTTTATTTCCATTTGCTTTGGAAACATTCAGCTTCTCAGCCAACTCCATTCTAAACTGCCCACAATTGCCTCAACAAACTCCTCCTCTGGTTCCTCCCTACTTCTCTCCAGTGATCTGACTTGTCTTAATCAGATATCTCTGTATCTATAAGGCAATTCCACTTTTTAATTTTTGAGGGCTGTCCATAATGTTTTACACAGTGACTGCACCAATCTGCAATCCCACCAACAGCGCATGGGGGTTCCCTTTTCTCCACATCCTAACCAACACTTGTTATTTGTTGAGTCCCGTGTTCTTTTGATATGACTTCAGAAGTCTTCAATGGCTTCCCTGCTCTCTGGAAAGGCCAGATAGATGTTCCTGGCTCACCTTGTACATTTCCTGCCCTGGCCTGGAACTGCCATTTCTCCAAATAGCCTGACTCCTTCTAGTGAGAAGTTGCATTTAAATGTGCTCATTACCACCTCATTGGTTATTTTTTGTAGGCATCTTCAGTGAAGAGTTAATGAGTATTTGTTCTGAACTTAGTAATTGAGGCAGCCATATTAAAGGTGGCCCCCATAATCCCTGCCCGCTTGTATGCAGGCCTGTGGCACTGTCCCCTTGAATGAGGGCAGGACCTATGACTTGCTTCTAAACAATAGTTTAGCCAAGGTGCCAGGTGGTCAACTCCATGATAACTTTCATAAGATTGTAACCTATTTTTCCAGTACAGTCTCTCTACCTTGCTGGCTTTAACGAAACACATGGCCACACTGGGAAAGCTCACACGGCTAGGAACAGACAGCTGCCAACAAGCACTTGAACTTGAAAGGAGATCATCCCTGGTTCAGCCCTCATATGGGAGTGCAGCTCTGGTGACACCTGGATTTCAGTGTGGTGAAGTCTGAAGCAGAGAACTCAGCTCAACTGTGCCCAGATACTGACCCACAGTTACTGTGAGTTAATAGACTTGTGCTGTTTTAAGCTGCTAAATTTGTGGTCATTTTTTATGCAGCAATACATAACCAACCCCACAGCTGGATACAGTTCATTGGATTTTCCTTTCAAATTGTAAAAGAGATCAACAATAGAGGCAGTAAGTCAAGTATCCTGAAAACAGGGCCTGCCAAGTTCATATGGCAATGCTGTTTGTGCCTAGATGTGCCCTGTGTAGTAAAGCTTAATGTGTTTGAATCAGCTGTGTGGGCTACAGCTATGTATCATGAGCTGCAACAAAATGGGATGGCATGTAGGAGAAGCATCAGAGGAAAGTCCAGGAGACCCAGTACCCAGGATCCCTGACACCTAAACCGCACCTGCCTCCATTTCACCCCAAAAGCAGGCAAGGAAGAACTCCCAGGAGACCCAGTCTGGGGAAGAGGGGACCAAGGTCTATAATTTTGTTAACTGCTCACATTAGGCAGACAATACTTCCTGTTCACAGAGCCAGGGATAAGAGGTGTCCCAGCTGCGTGAGCTGCACCTTAGAAGTCCTGGCTCTTCAGGTTCTGGCAAAACCAGACTCTCTGTTTTCACAGCCAGCAGAGGGATGGGTCTGGACATGTGACCAGTTCCACTGGGGAGGAGGAGCATGCACATACCTTGATTTCACCTAACCAGACTTCCCTGATCCACCCTGTGTTCCTCCCACATCCATTCACAGCCCTGGGGACAGGGAACCTCATGGAGGAGCCCTACTTTATGACCAGTTAGTGGGCAAAGCTGTGTTCTTCACATGGTGAGATGATAACTGGCCAAGGCAAGCAGTGGACACAGCATGAAGGACAGAAGTACATTATGCACATCCTTAAGAACAGAGGATAGGAGGAGCAATAAAATGTGTTCAATCAGTGCTTCCCAAAACTTAGAGGCCAAAAATTCTCCTGGAGAATTTATGAAAACAGATCCTCAGGCCCCAGTCACCGAGAGTCTGATTCATAAGGGTTGGTGTGGCCTGAGAATCTGCATTTCCACCAAGTTCCCAGGGAAGACAAAATGTTAATTTCCTCCAGAAATATGCTCATAGGCACACTCAGAAATCACATTTAACAAAATGTCTGAATACCCCATGATGCAGTCGAGTTCACACATAAAATTAATCATTCCAACACACATATACAAATACACACATATATGCACATAAGCACATACACACTCATCTTTTTTACACACTCAGAAAACCACACTTACATGCATTCACATCCAAACCATATACAGACTGAAAAACAGACTCCTGGATACACAAGCATATACAAACAGACACATACACACACATCTACATATATGACACCATCCATGCACATGCACACACAGACACTTTTCCTGGAGAACCCTGTAACAGTAATGATGCAACATCAGCTCCTTCCTGCCAAGGCACTTTGTGACTTACTGGGGGCCTCCCTGGACCTTTGCCCCAAAAGCATGAGAGTGGTGGGGCTGGGGATGTGGATGACTATCATCCACATTCACAGATGAAAGAGGCAAAGATTGAAGAAGATACAGTGACTGGATAAAGCCCCAAAACAGTGCTGAACCTTGCCCAATGCTTCTGAAAGTAAAAAGAACCCACAGCACTAAAGACCAGCTGCCACCTGAGTTGGGCAGACACTAGTGTTGTTGCACCTGCCTCTCTTTCCGCCCAGACCCCTACTGGGGATGAATTCCAGACATGGCACATGTAATCAGGGCCCAGAGCCTGGCAAGGAGATATCACTTTAAGAGTCCTCATGCCACAGCCTCTGACAGTCAGAGGGTAGGCGGCCAGGACTGGCAGAGCAGGCTCAGCAGAATGTGCGGGCTGTAACTGCAGCCATGGTTTACAAAGTGTCACCATCTACCACACATTGTGCTAAACATGTTTTGCTAATAACAGTCGTCATGGCAGCCAGGAACCTGGAGCAGTGGGTGGGGGTGGAAGGTTGCTCCAAGAGGTTATATGGCTTGTCCAAGTCACACAAACCCAGATCCCTTGCCTGGAATCCAGTAGAACCTACTAGACCCATCTAGGGAAGATCATCCCTTGGATGGTGTTAACACACAGGTCCTGATTCAGAGTATGCCATCCAACCACCACAGGGGGTGCAGTGCATGCACTGCAACAGTGAGACTCAGGCATTTCCTGTGTTGCCCATGAACCACCCATACAGCTTGCCCTGAGCATTTACATTGAGAAAGTCCCCAAATTCTCACCAAAATCCTATCAGGAGGAAATTGAAGCATAGAGGCTGTCCCACATCTAAGATCACCCAGGTAATAGTTAGAGCTGGATTTAAACAAATGTAAACCATTTAGCTCCAGAGCCCCACTTTTAACAACTGAGCTGGTACAAAAACAGTAACTCTGCTGGAGGCTAGAACCTCTGGGCCACACATGTTCTTTCTTCTCCTTCACCAGCTCTGAGCTGAAGATGGGCCTTGATCCACACTGCTTATCTACTGATTCCAGGTGCAGAAATCACCAGAGGCAGCATGTGCACTGACCATATTCACCCACTGAAACTGCAATCTGCACTCTGTTTCCTGCTCACTTCTAGGTGGGGGTGATATCCACTCACACCAGCAGGCAGAGAGTCTCCTACTGTGGGCCACTCAAAACCTCAGAAAACTGAAGTCTTGGACCTGAGAAGTATGATTTCGAGAAGGAAATACAAGTGATTCTGCTTCTGAAAGTCCTTGCTAATTTTTTTTTTTTAATGCAATGTCTCTTCCATGTGTCTTGAGGGTAGGAGATCATATCGGTTTTGTTCATGTTTCATTTATTCCTTTCCTCCTCCCCTTGCAAAGAATTGCACTTTGGAAACTTGAATAAAGGAAGTGGTTGACTTTGTAGACTATAGATGTGACATTGAAGAGCTTCTGGTCAAAATGATTTAGCAAGAAACCACCACCCCCACCCAGTAACAAGGCAGGCAGCTCCCACCCAAACCAGGGCAGTTTGCAGAGTTCCTCCCCGAACCACCAACAAGCTCCCCAGCACCGCCCCGGCGGCCCAAAGCCAGCACTGCCTTCCACGCAGCCATGTGGCTGGCTTGGGTGTTGCTTGCCTTCTACAGCCTCGTCTTAAGCACCACGGTGGACTTGTCCCCAGGTAAGCGGGCTCTGTTCTGCGCAATCCCAAGATGGCTGGAGGGAGCAGACTTGCCGTGAGCTCTTTTCATTCCGGGAGTGTACAAAACACAATCCTAGCTGGGCAGCCCCAGCAGACCATGCCGTGGCAGGGAACCAAGGCGCCCAGTGCTGGCGGCAGCTGCCTTTCAGGGCTTCAGGAAAAGGAGTCTGAGTGCCACTTGGAGTTGAGGGAAGGGATTTCTGTTCCCCGCTGCTGCTCTGGAATCACCATGGTGGCCGGAGAACCTTCCTCCTAAAGGAGGGATGGAGCACAGGACTGGGTGTGGTTAAGTGGTTTCTATTTTAGGGGTGGTCATTCCTGCCTGCTGGCTGCTATACTGTGACTTGGCATTAGGGACCGTGATGATCAGAGTCTTCCTTCCTGCCAGGCCAGCGCTGGAGGGAAGGGGAGGGAGGGAGACGTAGCCTTTGTGTCTGAAAACTGAGGCACAGCTAGAGTAGTTGACTTCCTCAAGTCACACAGCCAGTGAGCATCTGCCCCCAGACTCCCCCCAGCACCACCCTCCTCCCAACGCACACACTTGTGGTGCTGGAAATGTCTTCCCAGCACCAGAATCATAGGCCATGGATGCTGGTGAAGAACTAGAGAACTCCTTTCCAACCTCCTTTAACCAATGAGGATTGATATGACCTGCTGAAGTCACACAGCCACTGCCCAGGGAGCGGGAGCAGTGCCTAGGTGGTGGCTAGTTTCTGCCCTCCTCCCTCTTTGGAAGGGGACTGGAGCCTGGCCACAAGGGGCCAGGTGCTGGGTGTTCAGGCAGGACCAATGGCAAGGGGACAGCCCCAGAGCCTCTCAGACTGGAGGGGTCACACCATTATGGTGACATTATCTCAAGCCCCTGGATCATCTCAGGTGAGTGCTGCACTCAGGGACTATGAGGTTCCCAGAGCTTTGTTCTTAGCTCTCACAGTGTAGCCCCGACCATACACACCACCCTTCCCAGCATGTCCTGTCCTGATTGGATGCCAGGGTCTTCCTTTGTCCCACTAGTGCCCCTAGGAGGGAACGAGCCAAAGAAAGAAAAGGGGATGCTGAAACCAGAGAAGCACACTCCTCAAACCTTAGTGAAGAGACTTCTGGGGGATATGACACTTGCTTTCTCCACTGTACTGAAATTTAATTATTTATATTACAGGCAATTATCTGCTGTGTTCTTTCTGCTTGCCTCAGCTTCCTACCCTAACAAAGCAGGGACAGTACCAGGTTGCATGGGGAATCCTTACTCAACAATTAGTGCCCTTTCACCAGCAGTATTGCCAACCCTCTCCTGGTATTTCATACTGAAGAAGGCCCTCTCCAGAACACTCCCCCATCCACAGCTGCACCTGCCCTTCCCTGCCAAAGCCCTTCTCAACCAGCCTGGGTCCTCCCTTGTTAGACCTTCTCTCTGCCACCAAGTCCCAAATGAAGGGTCCAGAGCCCACACTCACATACAGAGGGCCCTGGAACATGCAGACTCCCTGAGCCTAGTAGCTGTGGAGCCTGGAGCCTCCCTAACCATCAGTCTCATGGCCCATGAAATGGATAAATAAACCCATCCCTCTTAGGCTCTGGAGAGGCTTGACTGTGGTGGACATGGATGGCACTCCCACTGAGTCAGGGGAGCTTGTAGTCGCCCACTCTAGCCCTGCTCCTGAGTCTGCTTGACCCTGGCAGCCACCATACCATACAATCCCACCCCATCCTACCCTAGCTTCAACCCTTTCAGGTGATTCCTTCATTTGGCAGATGAGGGCTTCCAAATGAGGAGCTTTGAAGGCCCCCCTCTGTCTGGTGGTGGTACAGAAATGGGAACTCAGCCTCAGACTTGGTTTTCTCCTCTACCCATCCTCTCCCTGGCCCTGTGGCTCCCACAGGCTCCCCTTCACCTTCAGAGAACAGATTCCAGACCCTTTCTGTGGTGGGAGGAAGAGGTTGACAGAGACCCCTGAAGGGTCCACTATCCAGGCATCTGGCTTCTCCCTATGCCTAAGCACTAAACTGTACTAACCTAAATGCAGAGCTCCCAGTGGCTCTCCCCAACCCCAGCCCTGCAGAACTTAGGAAAAGTGAAAAGCCCTTCTTTCTCAGCCTGTTAGCACTCCTGGGAAATTCCACTTGGCCACCATTTCACACTCTGCTTCCCCCACCTCTACCCCAACCCCCAGCCAAGATGGCAATGGTCCATCTTCTCATTTCAGGGCCACCTGGGCAGGGGTCCAGCAGCCATCACTCCTTCCACCTGCAAGATGACATCAGTCCTCAGTTACTAGTAGCAAGGGTTGGGAGCACCTGTTACACTCAGAAACCACCTTCATGAAAGAAGAGACCACACTGCCCCTGCATCCGGGGGAAGGGCCCTGGGAAGTGCCGCAGGCTGTTTGGACCCACTCTCTGTATTTTGAGATTTTTTTCCAATGGAGGGCACCAATTTGCTCTCAGAGACCCCCACTATAGCCATATTGCATATTTGATAGAATACTTGATTATATTTACATTACTGCATACCATTCATTGGTAACATCTTTATCTGTAACATCTTGTATATTCTCACTACTACCCTGTGAGGTCAGTGCCATCATCATCTCCACTTTACAGATGAGGACATAAGAGGTTCAGAGAGGTTAAGCAGCTTGCCTAAGGTTGCACAGCCAGCAAGAGGCAGAGCTGGGAATCAAACCCTGGGCATGTCCCAGTGAGTTAAGGCCAGGACTAACTAGAATCCTATTTATGTTAGAAGAACTCATGTACCCTCAAAAGAATAAGTCTATTCATTACTTAAAGCCATCAGAACACAGCTGGGCAGGGGCAGGTCCATGGAATTAATGGCAACGATACAGACTCACTGAATTTTGGTGTCATATGAGAGAAGCAGAGGGATGCAAGGCTCAGGATGTTATTTCCAGGTAGGCAGAGAGTGGACACCAGCACCACTAGGCCTGACGGTCATGATCCATCAACCTAATCCTTAGGTCCAGTCTTCCAGACTGTGAGCCCCAGGAGCAGGTGTCCAATGGGGGCCACTTCCCCAAAGGACCCAGCACCCCGCCCGCAAGGGTTTCATGATGCTGGTAGGGGAAGCCCAAGCAGCCACTGGGAGGAAACCACCCCTGAGTCACACAGGGAGGATACCAGCATGGACTCCCAGTATTTGACTCTTGAGTACCCTGAGGTTCTCTTCTCAGGCATGGTTTTACATGCTGAGATGCCCTCTATCTCCCAGGCACACTCCTGAAAGTGGTGGGGAACCCCAGGTTCCTGAGCACCCCCTTTCCCTCCACATGCAGGACAGAGTACAGGGTGAACAGGCCCAAGGGGACAGGAGCTCTCTCCAAAGGATCTGACCTTCCATATGGCTTCAGGATGTGGACACATGACCAGTGTCCCAGGTTCTGGTACCCTGTACTGGACATACATCCAACTTGTCTTAGTTTTTCAGAAAAGTAAATTAAAGGCTGTCTACCAAAACATTCACTACTGGATTATTTTACCAACTGGTCTTTGTCAGGAAGTCTTTGTCCCACACCTATTATGGGCCATTTGCGTTCATGGTAATTCAAAGGCAGGTTATACTATGTTTAATCTGCCTAGAAACAGTTAACTGTTGCTACAACTAACACTCTGGTTATTGACAGTGTCCCAAGTTGTTGTGTCACCTGTTCGCCTGTGGATTTGAATGAAACTCTTAGTTATTCAACATACACCAGCAGACCTGTAAATGAAGTGCTTGGCTCACCAAGGATGGGGCAGTGCTCATGGGGATGGCCTGCAGAGTTTGGCATACTAAAAGTAAACTCAGGGTTAGTGTCACAGTACTTTAGCATTCTGCATCTGCACAGTTCTGAAGGGGATGTGGGGATGCAACAGGAACAGGATGCTGGAATAGGAATCACTTGTGATTTGTATAGAAAAATCATATTTTTTAAGTGAGAAACATCAGAATTTGTTTCCTTGAATTCAGCTTTGCTTCCCATTTTGATCATCAGGGAGAGGAGACCTCTGGGTATCTTTGATACACAGAAGGTTGGAGAGGACTAGTGTGACTGTATGGAGAGGATGGCCCAGGAATCCACTGGTGCAGGCCCGGCACAGTGTGGAGGAACCTGAGGGTTACTCCTAGTTGTACCAGTTCCTGCAGCAAGGCTGGGTTGTTCACAGACAGGTAGGGAAGGTCTGCGTCTCTGCACTGTGTGGCCGGTTCCTACCTACATGTTGGGTCTCAGTGCCAACTCTCCAGGGCCTGTTCTTATAACACTATCTGCACTGCCCAAGGCAGAAGTCCACACTCAGGGGCAGAAAGCTGGCTGCATCTTTTTTTCTTTTTTAAATCCTCATCCGAGGATATGTTTATTGATTTTGAGAGAAGGAGGGAGGGGGAGAGAGAGAGAGAAAAACATTGATCAGTTGGTTGCCTCTGGTTCAAACCTACAACTTGGGTATGTGACCTGATCAGGAATCAAACTTGTAATCTTCTGGTGCACTGGATGACCCTCAACCAACTGACTGAGCAACACAGCCAGAGAAGCTGGCTGCATCCTGATATTCTAAGGGCTAGAACTCAGCTGTCCTCTTCCAAGTACTTTAGCAATTTTGTATCTGCACAATAAGCTTGTCCCTCCTATTATACTGTGTGCCCTGGGGGTAGCACCTGGGTCACAAGCACAGCACACACTGCTCTGTGGCCAGGCCAGTCCCTTGGTTATCCCGATGTCCTCTCCATGTCCCCCAGCCCCTCAGGAGGGAGACTCTGCTGGGGTGGGGATGCCCCTGCTCTCAGTGGCACCTCTCTACCCCTTGATCTCCTGCCACTGAGTCAGTATTTTCAAGACCAGCCAAAGAGCAATTTTTTTTCTATGAGGAGTAGGGAGTTCTTTCTGGAGAGTCCTGCTCCTGGATTGGTCTGGCAGAGCCATAGTGGGGAGCAAATTCTTTCATCTTCTCTCCTTTCTGGGTGCATTCGACCTCACTTCCCACCTGACTGTAGATGAGGCTTTGTGTGGCTCAGGCCCCAGGGCCTGGCCCAGCACTGCATGTCCAAACCCTGAGCCTAGATGTATTCTCTGTGCTGCCCTGGGAAGTGGGGAGGAAGTTGGGGAGTCACCTCTCACTTGGAAAAACTTCACTTCATTCCAACTGGGTTTGTCCCCAGCCCAGCATTGGTCCTTTGTGGAAGAGTATTTTGTTTCTTTGCACCAATCTGCTCCTCCCCCAACTGTCCTTTTAGTGCATGTTGCCCAGGCCACCACAGTGCCACTCCAACACTAATGCCAGTCCTGCCTCCACGCTCAGCTCTCTTCTCCTCACCCAGGTCATTTCCTGCTACGACTTCCTCACTAGTCTTCTCACCCCTAGTTCCCCTCCCTCAGCACTCTTTATTGGCTGGTTACAGTCCCCCTCCTGGAACTTGCTCAGCCCAGGTCTGCATGCTGCTTCCCTTCTTATACTGTAGACTCCCTAGTATCAAAGTCATCTTGGCATCATCCATAGCAGCTGCCAAAAAACACTTCTTGAATGACAGAAAAAGTATTGTCTTAAGAATTAGTCAAACCTGGATTTAAACCTGCCTTGCACTCTTCTGAGGCCTATTTCCTCACTTGTATGATGGGGATGTAAGCATCACCCCTGCAGAAGTGTGAGAAGAAGGGACTGCAGAGCAGGCTTCTGCTCCTCCAGACTTCAGCTCCCCTGCACAAACTACAAATCCCAGTCCAGAGGACAGTGGACAGGGAGGGGCTAACTCCTGGACTGGGGCACAGGGACCTCACCATGTTGTCAGCACCTGTTTGTTTTCTTCCCTGAAAGGGAGTCAGCTCTTTGTGATATTTTTCTTCATGATTGGCCCTTCCCTGTTAAAGTCTCTTCAATCACCCTAAAAATAGGTTTGACTCTTCAGCTTTTTAAAAAATTAAAAATGGAGCTTTTACTGTTGGACCTCTGTGCTGACTTGAAACCAACACTTTTGGAAACATGTTGTTAAATAAAAATAAGGCAACTTCAATATATTTCATAACTTTTTTGTAACTCGACAAAGTTACTTAGGAAGTAATATCATATTCATCTGAGATTCAGCTTCACTGATAACTGTTCTGTTTTTCAAATTTCCTACCCAAAATAAGCTTATAATCAGAAAAATCAATAAATTTAATTTTCCAAACAATAAATATATTAATCCACAGTGGGGGATGGGACCATGTATTAATGGGAAATTTGAAAAGGGCTTCTTTCTTGCTCTGCTGTGTTGACTTCAGTGATGAGTAGAAACCAAGCCATTTTCCAAAACAGTTTTTGGTTAAAACTGAAATCCACACCTATCTTTCTATGGTCAGTAAACACAGGTAGCCCAGGGGTAGTCTTCCCAGTCACATTAGCATCAGCATGGAAGGGCATCAGAAGACCTTCCATCACCACCTGAGTCAAAGCCACATGGGGAGCCAGGGAAATGAAGGTTTCAGGACCTGACGCAGCCTGATCAATCCAGCTCCTGGAGCTCAATGGATGGAAGCAGTTTTCATTGCCTCAGTCTTCAGACACCTCAAGTGAAGGTTTCAGCCCAGTTTCTGTGAGGATGTCAGTTAAGGGCTGGATTATTGCAAAGGAGAATCTAGAGGACATTTGTAGAGGGCAAAGCTCTGAACAAACCTTGGACCAACACATGGCCATAATCCTCTGTTGAAAAGGGCCACATCCTTTGGGCTGCTAAATCACAGGGAGCTCTGCAGAGGAATCATGAATTTAGTCTTGACATTTGTCTTTGGCCCCAGGGAACCAGTGATGGAAGATCCACGGGCCAAGCAGAATCCATTTAGTCAGGCAGTGTGGGTCTTCCAGCGACAGTGGGACACACCCCAGGGTAATGAAACTTACACAAACCCACACCTTCTCTCCCCACTCTCAGCCTCCTTCCACTGCATCACCCACAGTGGAGAGGAGACCCTGCAGGCAGGTTGCATGGGACCAGCCAGACAGATGCCCAGCCACCCTAGTTCTCAGTCAGTGGGGGTCTCACATGCACGCCATCAAATCAGGAATTCAGGTTCCACAGCCTAGAACCTAAATTGGCAGTGGAAATAGCATCCTGTGGGACCCCTCATTTTAAGTTTATGAGATCTCTAACACCCTGGGCAAGCCCTCCCTCCTGAGCTGAGCTTCCGCCCCCCTCTTCTCACCCTCTGCTGTGACCAGTGTAACCCATGCTGGTCCTATGGGAATGTTCCAACATGCTTAACCAACTCTAGCCCAGGGCCATATGGACAGTCTGTTCAAAGACCCTGTGCTGAGCTATAATGCTCCCTTCCCCCCACAAGGGCTCTTGTTCCCTGGGCTCTCAGGCACAGCCTTACAGGCAGGCCATAGCTAGCGTACAGCTGCACAGGGTACCATCCTGCCAGGCACAAATCGTCAAGTGGTTCATGTTCACAGTTCCCTGAGCCTTGCCAGCCCACTGGACCGATCTAATCCCATCCCCAGTATGAGGTAAGAGGTACTTCTCTAAGCTCCTGTCAGTCAGTCCATGTGAATGGGGTACTCCTTATCCCTAGGGGGATGTACCAGTTCAGCCCCTGGAATAATGCTTCTCTATTAAAGCTCCCAAACTCTGAATACATGCTGCTGTTTTCCTCCCTAAGTTCTTATTTTTTCACAACCCAGGGAATCACATGGTACTGTAACTCCTCCAAAAGCCCACATCCCTAGTCACCATTACCTTCTCAGACAGAACATGTCTACAACCCAAATACACTTGGTTGTCTCCAACCTCAGCAAGATATGTCTGTGTGGAGAGATTGGGGGAGCACAGGGCAGCAGGAATCTCTAAGCTGGAACCTTGTCTGGTTAGCACTGCTGCTCCTCTCACACTCCATCTCTACTTTCTGTTGCTTAGGCACCTCTGCTGCATGCTAAAAACACTACCTCTGCAAGGAAAGTTTCTGTCTGCACCAGCCCAATGGCAGTCACTGTCACAAGTGGCTATACAGAGCACCTGACACCAGCTGTGCCACCAAAAAGCTGAACTTTAATTTAGTTAATGAAATAAAATCATTGACTGGGTCAGTGTCAGCCCTGTAGGACAGTTCAGCTCTGGATCATGTCTGGCATGCTAACATCTCAGGAAAATCTGGTGGAAAGTCTTCATAAAAAGAAGCAGTTCACAGACCTAAAAACCATCCTCCCACTCTCCCTACCCCCCAATTTATTTATATTTTTTTCCTAAATTTTTAAGTTTTTGTTATTTCAATAAACAAGCAGTTTATGACCACTGTAATAAAATTGACAAATTCACCCATGAGCCACCAAACAGAAAAGGCCATGTTTACTTATTGCAATTCATGTAGCTTGTGGGTTTTTTACATTCTTCTTTTCTTTATAATAAAATCCAATGTTCATAACCTAAGTTAGCACACCCACATCAAGCCAGCCTTGCCTCTCAGCACTTCTCCCTGTGCCCTCCTCACTTCAGCCAGTTGGTCCTCTGAACCCTGAGACACCTCTGCCCATGGCCCACAACTGGCTCTCAGGCCCTCCGTTTGGCTGTGTAGATGGTGCAGCTAGACCCTGCATCCCTGTAGACAAACCCCTGCACAACTCCTGTTTATGTGTGGAACATGAGCTCCAGCAGACAAGCTTTTGCATCCCCTGCACCTGCAGAATGAGGAGGACTCAGCAGTGGAGAACTGAACAAAAGAATGAAGCCAGGTTTTCCTTTAGGGAGGGGCCTTGGGTCCACCTGGGCTCTGTTGTTGTGGGAACTGGGAGAGGGTGATGTGGAGAGTAGAGAAGGGGTACTGGGTCCCTGGTTCTGCCTAGTTGTCAGAGACAGGGGGTGTATGATGGTAGGGGAAGCCCCTCATGTTGCTTCCCCCATCTTTTATCCAAATATGGGCCTCCTCAGGACAGGAGAGCATGGAAGAGTGGAAGAAATTCAGGCCTCCCTCCCGCTACCATATGCCAATTCCACAGAGGAGCTGTGTGGGATATTCACCCAGGCCTGGCCCTGTCCTCAGACTTGTACTCAAAACAGTGCAGAAGGAAGCAGCATGAAAACAGAATGATGTGAAGAGAACCAGGTGCTATGGTGCTGCCTGGGGAATGGGGACCCCTGGGAGCATGGCCTGGAAGCTGGGCAGGTTCTAACAAGTGTCCCTGAGGCAGAGGACGGCAGCCAGCCTCCTTATAAGTGAGAAGGCAGGACTGGCCTTTGAACACTTCCTCATGGGCAACTTGTTGGGGACCAGCTGAGGGATCAGGGCCAGATGTTGTCCTTGAAGGCCAACTGGAGCAACTTGTTCTAACACCCTGAGGCTGCATCCTGTCCAGAGGCTCTGCCACCTTTAGACATGTTCAGGTTTTCTTTAACACACATTGGAAATAACCCTGGGTTCTGAAGGGGAGTGTGGGAAGGAAGGGGGACAGGAACTGTATCTTATCCACCATTGTACCACCCACCTCTCCTGGTACTCAGCATCTGGTACAGGCAACCATGGGGATGCACAAGAATTGCACTGGAGTGAAGCCTCGATGGACTAGAGAGGGTGAACAGGAGAGTGGAGGGTGGATGGATGAGGGGAGGATGGACTTGTGAGAGGAGGGCAGATGAACAAGGAGCTCTGCAGGCTAATGTCCTAAGCAGAGAAGGGAGCAGAGAAGAGAACTAAGCACCAAGATGTGAGGCGTGACACTGGCACCTAGGGCTCCACTAACAGCAATGTTTTTGTCTCGTTCTATTTCTCTCTCCCAGATTTTTGTTCCCAGACCTTTAACTCAGATGTGAAGCCAGGATTTCCCAAAACAATCAAGACCAACAACCCAGGAGTCCTCAAAGCAGCCAGATACAGCGTTGAAAGGTTCAACAACTGCACAAATGACATCTTCTTGTTCAAAGAGTCCCATGTCAGCAGAGCTCTGGTCCAGGTAAGGTCTGGGTTCTGGTGCCCAGCATCTCAGGGCTAGGAGGCCAGGCTGCAAAGTTTCCTATCCTATCAGGGACCTACCCGTCTAATGCCCTGGACATCAGGGACACAGACTAAGACAGGAGACTGACAGTCGCAGCCACAGTTAGCCCATAAGCAGGCCAAACCAGTGTTACCAGAACAGAGCAAAAAATCTTGGAGCTATCTCTTGCTGAAACCAACTTCTCCTGGGGGGAGCCACCAGGAGTAGTAAAGAGGGCAGATGTGGAACTAGGACCAGAGGTGGGTGTGCTGAAGGCTGTGGGTGGGGAGAAATCAGAAGCCAGGCAACAGGAACCAAACTGGTGAAGATGCTGACCCCTTGGAGGGGCCTACTGCATCACCTGCCAGAGCTGCCCCAGCCTAGGTCCCCACCCCTGCCTCACCCCCTTACCAGAACCACAGTCCCAAAGGACCTTTTGACGTTCTCCTTCTGGGGGTTGTTCTTTTGCATCAGAGCTTTGCCCAAGATGCACTCTCTTCCCACACACTACATGCAAACTCCTCCTCCTCCAGTCTTGCTTCAATGTCATACCCTGTGAAGTTGTTACACTGAGGGCTCAATATTTACCCTCTAAGAAGCAACCCTAAAGGGCACAGCCAGGTCTTGCTTATCTGCGTCCCAAGAACACAGGGTCAGGCTGGGATAAGGGATGCAGAATGACATGGCACAATTAGGAGGTGGGTGACCAGTAGCCTCTGCCTCTGCTAAAATGAGGGACCTGTACAGCCATTCAAAAGGAAGTTCCCAGATGTGGGAAGCTGGCTTTGGACAAAATCTGCACTTCCATGGATGTGTAATGTTGAGGAAAGGAGGAAAGATGCTGACAGATTTTACGCACTATGAACGATTGGTTGGTTACATTTGGGTCACAGAATCATGGGTGATTTTTATCATGTTCTTTACTCTTTTTGGCTCTTGCAAACCTTTTGAGAGCTGTGTATTTTTATGATTAGAAACATGTCATGTAGAGAGCAGTCTGGTATGGGGAAGGCTTTTATAAGGTTCTCCACGGGAGTAGCCCAAGTGTCATCATTCCAAGGAACCAGCCCCAGGGACTGGGTGAGGCTCTGGCCTCCCGCAGAAACACTGCAAGTACAAGATGCTCTGTGCTGTGCCTTTGGAAGGAGGGGTGCATTATTCTTGACATTGGGGACTTCATTTCACTTGGTACTTGGAGGGAGGGGCTGAGACTGGAAGTTGCGACCTTTTCTTCAACTCCTCTGAGATCACAAATGAGGGAAATGAACCAAGCTGTCGCCACATCCAAATGAAGATGGGTTTTTTTGAAACCAAAAAATAAAATGCTCACACTGTTGCCAGGAATGGTGAGGGGAGCCAGCAGAAACCCTGCTTGCACCCATCCCATGTAAAGGTCACAAAAGACAGGCAACAGTGAGTGGTTAGGGCTTTGGGAGTTGGGGGTGAGGACTTCATCTTTGCCCTGGAGCCAGGGGAGCCATAGGGCAACCATAGTCTGCCGCCCTCCTAATGCCTGATGGAAAGTCCTGGGCAGAAAAGAGATGTCCTAAGACAGGACACAGGGTATGTGTTTTGCCCCCAAAACCAGGAGCTAAGTCCCTGGGCAGGAATGATAAGATGAGTGAATAGAGAGAACAGGGAAGAGATCTGGGATCCAGTCACAGGTTTTCTTCCTGCAGCGGTTCATGTAAGTTCCACATTCCTTTTCTACCATTTGCCCCCTTTCCAGAGGACATGGAGAAGTCCCATTAGGGCATCTTCACCACCTGTCTTCAAGCCACTTCTTGCTGACCCTGCCCTCTGCTCTCTTTAGATAGTGAAAGGCCTGAAATACATGCTGGATGTGGAAATTGGCAGAACTACTTGCAAGAAAACCAAGCACCACAGTCTGGACAACTGTGACTTTCAGACCAACCACACCTTAAAACAGGTAAAACAAAGGGGTCTCACCTCCTCAAACCCCTTCCTGCTTCTCTAGCCCCATCCACACTCCAAGGCTTTGGGAAAAACTCTTTCATCCCTTCTCTGGCCCCACGGTTCCAAGTCTCATTCCTTATGTTAGGCGTTCCAGCATCTTACAGTACCCAACAGACATGGGGGGGGGGGGGGGGGCTCCTCTCTCCCTCAAGTGTAGAGGCACATCTACACTTGGGGATAGGTTAGAACAATAAAATATCTTTCAAATAATTTCAAAATGTATATACACATGTGGGGAGAAAGCAAATGTGGCAACATTTTTATAAATATAGGCAAAAAGTATAAATTCTTGAATTATTCTTTCCCTTTTCCTGTAGGTTTGAAATTTTTAAAAAAAAATAAAATCTCAGGGCAAGGAGAGAACTCTTCAGTAAGGGAAATGCACACATGCATGTGCACACACCTGCACAATACACACGCACAGCCCACAAGGCAGCAGCACTGGAAACTCTGTGGAGTGAGTGGGCAGCCTCAGTAGGGAGGGTGGTCTTTGTGACAGGTAGCATAATTCTTAGGGTGTCCTTCTTTGTTTCAGACTCTCACTTGCTACTCTGAAGTCTGGGTCATCCCCTGGCTCCAGAAGGTCAAGGTGCCTGTTCTCCATTGTCTCTGATTTCCACCTCTCAGCAATACTACTGCTGCCGTCACTCTAGAAATAGTAAGCAGAATGGAAGTGCCTTATGGGTTCATTATAGAGTAGCTGGGATGGGGGAGTAACTGTCCTACAGTTAAATAATACCTGATATTGTCTTCTAAACTTAATTTTACTGATGCTGCAGAGTCCAAACATATGGGACTGAGTCTTCCAATGGGAATGTTTTGGGTTCTCAATCCCTGGGGGAGACCCCCTCACCCACTACCCAGTGGTCCTGACTACTCCATGGTTCCAGGCCCCTGATGAAAGCCCAGAGATCTATTCTTTTGTCTGAACACTTACAGCACTGACCAAAGGGACTATATCTGCTATTTGAGCATCTTGACCTTTCAAAGATGAGTTATGAATAAATACAAATAAAGAACTGACCATCTCAAAGCAATGGCTGTTGTTTCACCTGTTAAAGGGAGACTCAGGAAGATGAGGTGAGCGTTGAGGAGACCCCTAACTCAGTGGTGCACCCTAGCTATTAGCTAATGGCTACAATGTACTGGAGACCAAAAAAGCTAGATAGAGGCCAGCCTGTGTACGTATCATGAACTGGCAGGGTAGGTGGCAACCCGCACAGTGCATTCATCCTCCAGCTATGCTTTCTTCTGACTAGGGGCATCCACTCAATTCTCTCTGCTGCCTTTGAGGCTCAGCATATACACAGCTGTGCTTGGACAAGTGGGGTAAGGTAAGAGTGCTGAGACAACATCCCACAGAGACCCACCAAGGAGTGGGAGCACCAAACCCCACATACAGCCCCAACCAGGAGGAGCATCCACCATAGAGACCTACCCAGGAGAGGGAAGACAAGGTCAAGGGTAGACATACTGCAATGGGGGCACAGAGGAAGGAGACCACCCAGGGTCCTTGTAAAAGAAAGGCTTTGTGCTTGCACTGGAAACAGTGTTAAGACTAGACCACAGAACAGAAGCCTAGGAGTTGAGCCAGTAAGCCTGGTGCAAATACAGGGACCCCTCACTTTAGAATTCTGCTTCTCTAGGCCCTCTTCCAACCATGGATTAGTATAAAATATATTGCTGCCTTTAAAAAACATGGGTCTTATAATTCATAGGAAAGAAAAAAGCTTCATTAAATATGTATGGCAATTTAGTAGTGTCATAAACTTGATCAATGTGAACCATCAAAATGAATGACCCTCAGCTTCCTTCAGTGATCACAATAAAACTGTAACTCCAAATCCCCACATTTTTTTTGTTGTCTTGACTTACCTCCTTCTCATCATTTAATTCAGTGACAGTGGTAGCAACTATGCCACAAAACATTTAATTTATCCTATGATTCTGAAGGCCCCTAAAGGCAATCCTTTCATAAATATAAATGAATTCACTCAGAGGTGTAGACACCATACATTAACACAGCAGGAACACCAACACCAGGAGTATAAGCAAAACGGGCTTCAGGACACAGGCTCAAGGGGTCTCTTATGATTTATGCATGATGCAGCAAAAGAAGGGAAGATCCCAGATTCTGAGCTCCCAATCAGCCTTCATTTACATTTAAATACAGGCCAAAGTTCATCAAGGCCAGGTCTATCCTAAAAACCACTTAAGACTTCCAGACAGCCCTCACCTCCACAGGCTTTACATGCAGTGTCAGAAATGAGAATGCTCCTAGCTAAGGGGGACAGCAGCCTCACACGACATCTGTTTGGAGCAGCATGAGAGCCCCCTCCCCACCAGGCCCCATCTCCTCTGCCCAGCCAGGAGACTGTGTCTAACTTTCCCTCAGAGAAGGGAGGAAGAAACTTCAAATCCCAATCTCAAAACTCTCAGGTTTGACCTCTAACCTATATCTATACCCACAATTTTCAAAACATCACGTGGAGCCAGGTATTTATTGCCTCCTATACAGTTAACAAAGAGAAGTCTGAGAACTATGGCAAACCAGCCACTACAGAAGCCAGATGACTGTTTGCCCTCAACCTCAGGCTTCTGCAAACCTTTGTTCCATGAGGGCCTCAGGGCTTGAATTCCAGGTAGAAAAAGATTCTATTTTATAATGCATCCATAGTTCTATCATCCCCAATCCCAATCTGTTTTATGTAGCTTACTTCACAGAAGTAAATGCTTCAAATAACTCTTAATCCTGCCATGGTTAACACCAGAAGGAAAGGGGCTGCATGGTGACCCAGTGTGAAGCGACCTTGAAATTCAGAAGCCAGTAACTGGCATACATTTGACCCCTGCAGAGAGCTGTATACCAACCAAACTATTGTAGACATTTTGCTCCAACTTCCTGGAGAGCAGACCCTGTAGGCAGTATGTGCAGTGACTGTGTCAGCTCCATTCACTTTTTTTATTATCACAACTCTGCTGTAAGAAACTGCTCTCTAGAGTCAGCACACCAAAGCCCCATCTGAGAAGGAACTGCCAGAGAGCCCTGCAGTGAGTTCAGACAGATGAAACCAAACAGCCACGTGGAGACAGGATACCTTACTGCTGGTGCTGGATGTTATGAGTGATGACCTCAAGTTCTCTTCTCAAGTTCACTGCCAACCAAATTCTGTTTTTATTTCTTTTTTTAAAGAATAAAAAAAAAGTTTTAAAAGATTTTATTTTTAGAGAGGGGAAGGAGGAAGAGGGAGAGAAACATCAATGTGTGGTTGCCTCCTGCAAGCCCCCAAGGGGGGTCGGGGAGGGGGCCTGGCTCACAACCTAGGCATGTGCTCTGACTGGGAATCAAAACGGTGGCCTCAAAGGCTGGCACTCAATCCCATGAGCCACACAAGCCAGGACTCTAATTGTTTTGTTTTTTTAAAAACTCATCAGCTTTACTCTGACACAGAGGGAAAGTTGTGCCATCATCTAATGTTACTGTCATGGAGAAAATGTAAAGTACCCATAATCAAAAAGGAGACCCAGAACTACCATCAAAAAGAAGAATGCTTTCTCAAACTTGAACAAACCACCAAAACTATCAAAATCCTAACAAACCGTCCTGTTCTAAGTGTTCTAAGCTTTAAGTCTCCACACCTCCTTACCAGTTGCATACAGACTCTCTGCTCTAGACATTCACACAGCCTAGGCCCTCCTGAGGTTGGAGACGGGCCCACACTACGATGAGTGTCTCACCACTACCCACAGAAATCACCTGTGAAACTTTAAACTACAATGATGCCCAGGCCACACCACAGAATTGGGCATCCTACAACACCACCCTACCTTGTCTCTATCTCCTTATATCATTAAAATGTCAGATAGTCAAAGTACGTGAAAACACTTTAAAAACCACAGACCATTCTACAAATGTATATTGATGATAAAAATATCAAAGTAGGACCTCTATCCTATGAAAAGCAATAACTGAATCTTGATGGAGTTTTTATAATAGATAATAAAGCAGAATGAATGAACAACTTGATTTAATTTTAAAACCATTTTAGTAAGTCACATTAGAGCAAATCTATTTTATGTTTACAATAAAAGCTTATCACATATTTAAACCTGATAAGGCTCTATTTTACAACTGACCATGGCAAACTAACAAATAAAATGCAGGAAATGACATTTTGGGACAAAAAATTAACACCTGAGTCAAATCAAGACTCCTCTGCTGAAAACTGTGAAAAGCAATTTATCAGCTTCTTTGTAATGGTAAAAATTAAGCACTAAAAGCAAAGCCCTCTATTCTCGGTCAAGAAGTTGACTTACTTAGGCCCAGCACATTTAAATTGATTTTTGTGGCAGAATGATGGGGTTTTCCCTAATATTCTTGTATGCACAATATATGGGGTACATTATCTATTAAAATATATAAAAATCACTACTCAGTTTTCTTTCCTATAAAGTTATATAAATAATATTAAGTCATTCATCTAAGAAAGTATGGGTTGCATCAACTAGACTGTTCCACTATTGTGCACATAAAGTCAGCCTGAGGAGGTCGACACAAGATGAACCCACCACTAGATTCCAGACTGTCTTCTCCCAAAATGAGGCCAACCAGCACACAGTATTGGGGAGAGGTGCTGCAGCTGACAAGGGAGCAGTGGTTGAAGGCCGGCCAGTGAGACAAGACACAAAGGTTCAAATTTACCACAGCTCTCATTCCTCTCTGAATTTTAAAATCATTACCTATTTAAAATATTGTCTTTGTCAAGTTCTTTAAAAATTATCCCAAAGAGCCCTGACTATGTGGCTCATTATGCAAAGCAAAAGGCCACTGGTTCGATTCCCAGTCAAGGGCACATGCCTAGGTTGCAGGTTTGGCCCTCCTGTTGGGGCACATACGAGATGTAACTGAACAAGATTTTTCTCTCATATCCATGTTTCTTTCCCTCTCTTTCTCCCTTCCTTCCCCACTCTCTAAAATAAATAAATAAAATCTTTAAAAATGAATCTTAAAAAAACCAAAAAGCTATCGTAGAGGCACAATCTGTTCTTCAGGACAGAAAAGGAACAGATATTAGACCCACTTTGTAGGTTGGAAAGACAGCAGTATAGTATCAACTTGCTCAAGAATGAATCTGTGCAGACTGGCTGCAAACTCATGGAGAGGTCCTGAGCAAATCAGATGAACTGTTTGGCACTAACAAAAGATTCTAGCCAAACAATCCTCGTATCAACACTGGATGGAATCAAATTTCTGTCACTGTTAAAATAATTATATTTAAAGTAGAGAAGAAACTCCTCGGCAACACCATCAAAAAAAAAGGCTAATCAGCATAAAAGTTTAATTATCATCATTACATGGGTCCCCCTAACAAAATTATGACCAGGGTGTAAAGCAACTTTCCAGGCTTGTGACACTCAAGTAAATATGACATTAACATGTGTACTATTCACATCTGTGGGTGTAGAGGTGAGGAACAAAGGTGTGTAAATAGGACTGCCCTAAATTCACCCAGCTGCTGGGTCATTCAATTTGGGTAGTAGGTTAGTTGTTGAGAGAAAAACCCAGCTAGTCCTCTTGGAGCTGTTAAAAATCAACAAGCTTTTCCTATGCACTTACTGAGGTCCTGACCTTTATGTGATTGATGGGATTCAGGAGTTTTAATAAAAACCCTGTTACAAGCCAGAGTAGGCTAGGGGGTAGGAACAATGGAAGGGAAACCCCCCAGGAATCAAGGGCCTGTGTCCCACACAACTCTGGAGAATGGAGCCTAAAAGTCAGTGCTTGCACAGCTCCACCTGCTGGCCTCCGTGCACTTTTGCACTGAGTAATCCTTGCCCTTCCTGTGCTCCTCCCCCTAAGACAGGCATTACCTCATTTTATAATAAAGACACTGAGGCTGGCAGGACAAAGCCAGTGACTGAAACAAGATCCATAGACAACTCATCTACTGCTATATCCACCAAATCCTGAGGCCTGCTGAAAGTGCATGATGTCCCCTAAGCCTCAGAAAATTACTGTATTTAGGACTTTTTAAGAGAAAATAGCTTTACGTGTATTTATCTTCCAATGGCAAATGTTATGCTTCTCTCTAAATGAGAAGTCAAACCCAGGTGAGGGCTGTACTACAGGGGCCGAAACATCTGCAGGATCACACCACACTTCCAAGGACCAGAACTACAGGTGAAAAAGGCTGTGTCCAAGGTGTCCTGAACCAGGTGTGGTGCCCAGAGTAGTGACTCCTGGTGCAGTCATGATTAGGGCTGCAATCAGGACAGCTAGATAGACTGAAGGCTGAGTCTGCCAAGGAAGGAGGCCTGGAAGGAGCCCAGGTATAGGTGCCCGTCATGTTCATGCACTTCGCTGATGCAGGAGACCACATGCCCATCAGGATCGTGTAGGCTTCTCCGGACGGCCCCACTGTCGCTGAGTTCTAGGATGAGGCCATACCGTGACACAAACTTCATCACCATCTCTTGACTAAACAGCTGGAAGGGAAGCACAGTGTGAGGAGAGTTTATTTTCTGACTAAGAGACAGTGAGCAGATACAACCTTTTAAAAACAAGACAACAGGCCCACAATGGAATCGCTCATAGTAAGACCTATACCACTAAATCAAGACTTAACTTATAGTTCAGGCTCTGCCACAGATGAAATCTTAAGCCAGTTAATCAGAATCCCTTGATCAGCACTAGTTAAGTAATCTGTCTGGTAGACCCTTGCCATCCTCTAAAGGAAAATGACCTTGCAATAACCAACCTGATTTTTGCTTAGTTTGACATACTTGCTCCTGGTCCCTTCTGCCTGTAAAAGTCCCTCACTTTACAACAGCTCCTTGGAGCTCCTTTCTGTCTGTTAAGACTGGATGCTGCCTGGTTCATGAATCACTTAATAAAGCCAGTAAGCTCTTTAAAATTTACTCAGCTGAATTTAGTTTTTAAAAGACCCCATAGCCCCTCACCATCTGGAAAGGGCCCAGCTCCTCCAGTGAAAGGGAAGTCATATAGGGCAGAGCTAGGTTAAACCAGCTCCCTACTCCCAGCACAGGGCCTGTCCCACAGCAGGTCTTTCCAAGCTCTGCTCCCTGTGCAGATCAGGCAAAGGTGCCTCCTGTCACTTGCATATAAGAGGCAAGGCTAACCCAGCACAAACAAGGACAGTGGCTGTCCAACAGCTCTTATGTGTTACCCACCAATCCTGCCATGTAGGTACCTCTCTGGATGACCTGGCTACACACAGAGAAGCACAAATCACATCCGACGAAAACACAACGTGAAGCCAAGGTCTAAAGTGGCATCGACCCCAGAATGCCAGGTTAAAAACAGCACAGCCCAACCAGAATAAATGCTAAGCCCCCTGACTGGATTTAAGATATTTCAAATGTCCAAGGTGCAAATGATGGTTCATGTTAAAGAAAAGAACCTCAGCAGGTCAAATGAACATGTCCCTGCTCTATGAAACATGACAATTGCTTTAGGGTCCTCTTGCAACCAGTGTAGAGATCAAACATTCCTATGCTGAGCAGGCACCTTCTAGAAGCCTAGCCCCTGGCTCAGCTGGGCCAAGAGGCCCACAGGGCTATTAAAGGGTTTGAAGCAAAGAAAAACAGATGGTGATACGCAATTTCTGGCAGAACAGAAGGATACCAGGTAGGAAATAATGACAAAGCACACCACTGGATAAGACCAACAAATGAAAACAGGCAGATTTCTACCTTCTAATATAAGGAGAAATAGCTACACAATCACAAATGTCCAATGAATAATGTCTCCTAGTCACTGGAAATGCTCATACAAGTAGACTGTGTTCTAGAAGGTTCTCTAGCAATCAACCAAAGTTGCATTACAGCTCAAAATATTCCATAAGACTTTCCAGGACCCATGAAATTCCACCTCCCTTCAGCCATTGGTCCTCCCCTCTCCACTCTCTCCATTTTATCTGTAAGAGATCTCATACCTTCTCATTAGTTTAGTCACTTTTCTACAAAGTTCTCAAATTTCTACCTCTGTTTTCTGATGTCCAGTGCTAAATTCCTCACTGCCCAGGACCAAAATCCACCTGTACTTTCTAACAGCTCTTCAAATTCAACAGACTCCTCAGCTCAGGAGGCAGGGTTCCTGATACCAGAAACTCAGCCCTCACACTTAATCTCTACCTCTCCAACCCCACAAGCCCAGCACCAAGGTGTCTTGTCATCTGCTGTACTTGTATCACCCCTTCCCTAAGCCCTGCCCACTACCTCTCCTGGCCACTTCAACCACCTCCATTCAGGCTCCCAAACCCAGTGGAGCCCTGCTACATGCTGTTCTCCACACAGCACCTACAGTTATTTTTTTTTAAACAGTTGTAGTACATTACCCACCTCTCAAACAATTCAGTCAAGCAGCAGCTTGTGGGGATGATTAGGGAAGGTGTGTGCAGAGGGTGAGAGAATCCCAGTGGCTCAGGTCAGGGAGTCAGTTTGAACAGGGTGAAGGAGAGTCCACACCAAAGGAAGGGAGATGGCAGTGACACAGAGTACAGTGTCAGAGCTCAAGCAGGCTGAGATGGTATCCCCACCGTGGGGTGGCTTGGCACAGGCTGTCAGAGCCCAGGCAGGATGAGGAGGATATTTATCTGGGGGACAGTTATGCAAGTATCAGAGCCCTTCAAGAGAAAGGCTGGCTCCCTCACATAGTTGAGAGGAGGAAGACAGTGGGTCCTAGTGCTCTAGCAGGGGCCATGTGATGGGACAACAGCTACAAACTGGTGACATTTGGGGAATTGATCAAGCAGGTATGAAGGATAATGGGATCCAGGTTTCCTGGTATTAGAGAAAGGAAGTACAAATACAGAAAGGGAGAAAACTAGAATAAATCCTGTGGTATTGGATTAGAAGTAGAGATACCAGCATTACTTACGGTTTTCAATTTAAACAAAGAGATGATAAATAAATGTTGGTGTAAATTTATACACATTGTGTGTGTGTGTGTATGTATGGCTACACATGCATACATTCTCTGCTTTGTCCAGTGAGGGGCCCCAGGAGCAGTGATACCTCAAAAGCAATGTGTAAACTTAGCCCAGATCTCTTCTAGAAGGAACTAGGACTCCTTGGGCAAATGGTTGATTCCAGAGCTGGGGCAAGGAAAGTACAACATGAGGCAGAACAATGCGATGCCAGGACACAACAAACCTCTCCAAGAATGACAGGTGCATGTCCAAGGTCAAAGAGCCACACTGAAGGGTCTCCCACTGGCCAAAGCTGGACAATTTGATCATCAAAATAAATAATGATAATAACAGATTTTATAACCCATTGAGTACAACAGGCAAGCATGAGATCATACTGATATTTACTCAGTTATAAAGTATCTTCCCACAAAATACTCATTAATTACAAATGGAAAGAGTGATTTCACATGGGAAAGCCTGGCATTCACCACTGAATCAGGTGATGAACGTTACCACTACCAGCATGGGACAAGGTGACATCACTCCCCTCCTGACAAGACATACTGAAAACCCAGCTTCACTTCTGTGTTCTCCCTGCCAGAGATGCACAACCTGAATTTAAGCATGAGAAACACCTGACAACTCAAATGGAGAGGCACCCTGAAATATAACTGGCCTGTAATCTTCCAAAAGGTTAAAACTGGGGAATTATTCCAGACTGAAGGGGAATAAAGAGATGTGTTGACTAGAGGCCATGCCTGATCCTGGGCTGAATAACTAAAGGACATCACTTGGGTAACTGGAATAACCTGAATGGGATATGTGGGCTGAACAGTCACAGGTATCCATATAAATTTCCTGTTTCAACAAGTGGTCATAAGGGAGAATGTCCTTGTTGTAGGAAATAAACTAAAGCATCTGAGGATAATGGGACATCAGGTCAACAACTTACTTGCAAATGGTGAAAAAAATTCTTTGTAGCCTTCTCACTACTTTTCTAGTCAGATATTGTCTCAAAACTTAAAAAAAAAGAAAAAAAAAAAAAACCACCCTTAATGACTTTGATTGCATTTTGAATAAAATATAACCTCCTACAAGGTCTGTGGCCCTAGAAGTATCTGAAGATGATGGGGCATCAGATCAACAACTTACCTATAAATGGTTGGTGAAAAAAGTTCTTTGTACCCTTCTTATTAATTTTCTAAATGTGATATTGTCTCAAAACTTAAAAAAAAAAATTCCTCGATGACTTTGAGCACATTTTACCAGCAACACATCCTGCCGTTCCAGTTCTGTCTCAGTCTCAGCTCTCTAATCACTCATTTATTCAACAATAACTTCTGAGTGCCAGACACTGTTCTCAGTAATGAGAATAAAGGAGTGAGTTAAGTAGAAAAAATACCCGCTCTGGCACCTCCAGTCAAGATGGCAGCATAGGTAAACATGGCCCGCCTCCTCATACAACCACATCAAAATTAAAACCAAATTATAGAACAATCATCACTCAGAACCATCAGAAACTGAGTTGAACAGAAGTCTGACAACTATGGAATTAAAGAAACCACATCCATTCAGACTGGTAAGAGGGGCAACAGATGCAGAACAGACTAGTCCCAGATCCACGCGTGGTGGATAAAAATTTCGGAGGGATATCTCAGGAGCAGGATGTCCCAGCCCTAAACCAAAACCCCTGCTCCAGGGTTCCAGTGCCTGGAAGATAAGTCCCCATAACTTCAGGCTGCAAAAACCAATGGGGACCGAGTCATTGGGAGAAAGTTGTGGAGTCCCAAGCAGTTCCTCTTAAAGAACCTACACATGCACTTACTCAGACTCACTCCCTCTGAGCTCCAGAACCAGGGTAATAGCTTGATAGGGAACAGTGGCATAATGGGGGCATCAAAGCAAGAGCTTGGGGATAGCTTTCTCCCAGACAGGAAGGCAGGCAGAGGCCACTGTCCCTTTTCTAAACCCTCGCCTCACAGAGCCACAAAGCCAGCAGGTGGGTGCTATATCTGAGACTCCATTAAGCTGGCTGTAACTGTCCTGCCCTGGAGATCCACGCTGTTAACAGAGACTTTTCCATATAAATGGCTAGTCTTGGCTCATGTTTCACAACTTCCTAAATCCTCTCAAACAAGCAACAGCTAGCCTTGGTAAGCCCCCAGCCCCTGTACGTCTTGCTAATTGGTCCCAGGCCTGGTATGAGCAGCAACCAACCTAGATTTACAGCTTGGCTTCGCCTGGAATCTCCAAGCCCAGCACAAGTATCAGCCATCTCAGATTGCTTTATAGCCCAGGCAGAGTAACCCCAGGCAAAACAGTTGGGAGCCATCTTGGCCTCCAACACTTGGGAAACCCCAGAGCCTGCACATCCAGTGGACAGCTACAGACCACAATGGAGCACCCTGAACGGGCAAAGCTAATCCTGCACAGACGCTGGAGGCTGGTGGTCCAAGGTCATAGCCAATCCTTGAAGCTGACTGGCCTGGGGTAAATCCCTCCCATTGACCTGCCAACAGCAATCAAGGCTCAACTACAAGAGGATGGTGTACTCAGCCCACAAGAAGGGTGCACCTCGAGGTCCCAGCATGGGTGATAGGGGAGTCTCTGCCATTAGATCTTACAGGACATGTACTACATTTAGCCATGCTACCGAGACAGTCATAGCAGCTCTATCTAATACACAGAAACAAACACAGGGAGGCTGCCAAAATGAGGAGACAAAGAAATATGGCCCAAACAGAAAAAAACAGATCAAAACTCCAGAAAAAGAACTAAACAAAAGGGAGATAAGCAATCTATCAGATGTAGAGTTCAAAACACCGGTTATAAGGATGCTCGAGGAACTCAGTAAAGACCTGAATAGCATAAAAAAGATCCAGTCAGAAACAAAGGATTCACTAATTGAAGTAAGGAACAATTTACAGGGAATCAACAGTAGAATCAATGAGACTAAGAATCAAATCAATGATTTGGAACATAAGGAAGAAAAAACACTACCAATCAGAACAAGAAGAACAAAGAATCCAAAAAAATGAGGATAATGTAAGCAGCTGCTGGGACAACTTCAAGCATTCCAACATTTGCATCATGGGTTGCTAGAAGGAGAAGAGAAAAAGCCAGAAACTGGAAATCCATTTGAAAAAATAGTGAAAGAAACTTCCCTAATTTGTTGAAGGAAATAGACCTGCAAGTCCAGGAAGCACAGAGAGTCCCAAACAAGATGGATGCAAAGAGTCCCACTCCGAAACATTGTAATTAAAATACCAAAGGTTAAAGATAAAGAGAGAATCTTAAAAGCAGCAAGAGAAAACCATTTAGTTATCTACAGAGAAGTTCCCATAAGACTGTCAGCTGGTTTGTCAAAAGAAGTTTTGCAGGCTATAAGGGACTACAGGAAATATTCAGTCATAAAAAGTGAGGGCCTACAGCCTCTTAGATTGCTCCACCCAGCAAAGATATCATTTAGAATCCAAAGGCAGATAAAAAGCTTCCAACAAGAAAAAGTTAAAGGTGTTCATCATCACTAAACCTTTATTATATGAAATATTAAAGGGGCTTATATAAGAAAAATAAGATGATCAAAACTATGAACAATAAAATGGCAATAAATATATATTATCAACAACTGAATCTAAAAAACTAAGCAAACAAGGAGAAAAGAGACAGAATCATGGATATGGAGAACGTTTTGAAGGTTGCCTTGATGTCGGGGGCGGGGGGAGTATAGTGGGAACGGGTGAAGAGATGAGGGGATTAAGAAGTACAAATAGAAGTACAAAAAGTTACAGAACACCCTTGGGGATGCAAAGTATAGTACAAAAAGTAACTGCTAAGCCAAATGTTGTCTCCTCATTTTGGCAGTCTCCTGTGTTTGTTTCTGTGTATTAGATAAGGCTGCTATGATTGTCTTGGTAGCGTGGCCGGATGTAGTACGTGCCCTGTAAGGTCTAATGGCACACAGCCTTCCCTATCACCCATATGGACTAGCCAAAGAACTTATACACATGACCCATGGACATGAATCCCCTGTGGGGACTGCCTGCAGGGCTCGGGGGTTTTGGGTAGAGGGGGGAAAAAGGAAAAAAACTGGGACCTCTGTAATATCATAATCAATACCTGCTTGGAAGAAGCACACATTCTATCAAGGGAGAAAAACACCCACCCACCACCAAGAGAAAAAAAAAGTCCTTGCTGTAGAAATACTTTTAACATGTACAGAAACTGAACACTTACTATAAACTCAGCAAAGGGCACATTGTGCTTATTCCCATTACATTTTTCATCACCTAATGAAATGCCAGTATTCTTCCCACTTCACTGATGGAGAAATTGAGGCAGAAAGACCATGACATCTGCCCATGGTCCCATAGTTGATGTAGTCTTCTTCAAAACCCCTCTTCTTGCCCACCCTACCATTCTGCCTCCTACATTCCAAAGGGAACAGATGCTGGCTCTGAAGTCAATGAGACAAAGAGAAGGAATGTTTTGTTTCTGAAAAGATCAGGATTTTTTACAGTGACCCACTAAACTCAAACAACACTGAAAGCCACGGGCAAGCCTGACTGAGCAGGCGCATGCAGCCCCTCTCCAGGGCCTAGACACAAGTCCTGGTGCCACATGTGCTCAGTAATTGCTGCCTGGTACCTTCCAGAACTTTAAGTTACAAACATTTTAGTATCTATTCAAATATTCAATATCAATTTCAAATACTACTGTCTATAAAATGCAACTTTTCAGAATATAAGATTTCTTCCTGGAGAAAGCACCTGTCAGTATCAGCAATTTAGTCAGTCTGATTGTAAAACATGTTGTTACATTTGGGGCATTTCATGGACATCAGTGGAAAAAAGGGTAGGATGACGAATATTTAAAGACTGTGCTGAAGGGCTCCTAGTGAGGGTGGATGATTTTTTTTTTTTTAAATGGAAAAGAATCTGGTGTGTTAAGATGTCAAAGGGCAAAATCCTTTGGAGAGGGGTGACTGACAGGAGGTTCCCAGAAGGTAGGAGGTAGCAGGGCAGAATAAGGGTCAAAAATAAGTGGGTTTACATGATAACCCTTTGAGGAAAGCAGTGACATTTGCTAGCAGGAAAGAGAAGGCCAGGTTGCAGTTTGGAGGACAGGGAAGGTCTAAAAAAAGTCATCTCAGAGCAAGAAGAGTGAAGCTGACAGGAGGGTAGAGGCCCCAAGAAGTAATGATGATGACAGTGATGATAAAAACACCCAGACCAGAAAACCAGAAGAAAAAAAATCAAAGAGTCCAGATGTTTAAGTTTACATGTCAAGCTGAAGACTAAAAGGCATGTTAAAGAAGTCACTGAAAGTACTATATATTATAAACAGAACTAGAATTTCTAGAGCTACAAATCAAAAGAGATCATAATTAGATTCACCTTCTAATTATAGTTTTGGTTTCTGGAATTACAGTTTTCAGTTACCTTAAAAATCATTCTTTTAATACTAGGTTTCTCGGATAAGAAATCCAACACTGAAAACCCGGGGTTGGGGCGAATGGTTCCCAGGGAGACCCAGTACCCTCCGAAAGTGCTGGGCCGAATGTTGTCTGGGAATCCAGGCAGGTTCTCCACGAACAGGTCGGCCCCTCCCTTCATCAGGCCAGACACGTAGAATCTGAAAAATTCACCCAAGCAGGTGTGAGCAGCAGCTTCCGCCTCTGCCAACTTAAGAAAACATTTTAGCCAAGCACCAAATTAGTCTCGGTTCCAATAACTTTATGGAAACAACTATAAACATGTATGTCCATTATAAACAAAGGTATATCTACTGAAAGAGGCACACTCATGAGCCCTGGGTCCAGCTAGACACAGTTTCGGGAAAAGGCAGTGGGCCAAGACCCACTGATAGGGAAAGGAACCTTCGATGCTTAAGGGTCTCGCAGACTGCGACACTCAAGGAGTCTGAGAAATGGGAGGAAAAAATGCACCCTTGAGCCTGGCATTTGTCATTATTACGAAGTAGAAGGTGCGCTGCTGATTCTGATTCTGCTCATTGATACCTGCATGCCCACCCCAGGCACAAGGAGGTCTGGTGAGCACTGACAGCTCAGCAGATGCTATACACACCTTCTTATCCTTGCCATGGTCATCTCTGACACCAGGATGAAGTCCTCTGCAGGAGAAAGCTGCACTCCATTAGGGAACCGCAACTGGTCCAGTAAAACCTTTACTTCCTTGGTCTCCGTATCATACTCTAGCAAGCTGTGGATGTCAACAGCAAAGGGTCACACAGGGAGAGTACGTGACCCCCCCTGCTGGATGGCGGCCTTGCTCCCCGTCTGGGCAGGGACCTGCAGAAGAGGACTCAGCCTTACACCAGAGTGACAAGGCCCCTAGTGGTCCCCTGTTCAAATCTGGTTCATGGCTTGTCTTGAGGGGTCCTTCCTCATCCATGGCAGTCCCAAGCATCCTCTTCCAATCATCCCTCAGTCAGTCTCTCACTGACTTGGGAGCTGGCTCAGCACCAGGGAGGCCACCATGGCTCCAGCCTTTAGAAGTCCTCCTTTAGAGGTATGACCTAAAACCCAGACCTGCTTGTAGGTCTCTCCCAAACTGCCTAGACCACACCTGCACATGGACTCGCCTATTTTTATTTCTTCTCATCAAAGGGAAACAAAGACCATCTTGTTCTGTTTTGTTGCATCCATCACCCATTTTCAGAAGCCAGTAAGGTCCTATCTGAAATGCTGAATTACTGTGTCAGAAATACTCCCAAGATTCCCAGAACTAATCAGCTTTGCTAATGTTACCTTGCCCGACTGATGATCTTGCTGAGCAGAAGACATAAAATACAAACTCACCGCCCATCATCCGTTCCTTCCATAAGGAGAAGCAGATAATCTTGTCTTTGCCACTTGCTGCTGGAATCCGTAAAATAAATTTTCTTCCCATCCCGAGTTATTGTAAGATCGTTCACAAAGGACATTTTCCGCCCTTCAATGGGTGTGTCAGAGGACAGCAACAATTTCACTTCACCTGAAGTAGCAAAGAAGAAAAATGAAGAAAGGAAAGAGGGAGAAAGAGACTTGCCTTCATTCTAAGATCTTGTATCTCAATTATTTAGATATCTGTTAGCCTGATTTAAAAAGAAAAACTAAAATGAGCTTCTCCATATCATATCGTTAGAAGATTTATTCCTTCCTACAGTAAAAAACCATGTTTTTCTTTCTTTTGTTAACTGATTAATTTTTTTAGACTACATTAAAGCAAAACCCTTCCTCTAAGTATAAGGAACTTTTTCTTATCGAGACTAATTGACTTAAAAATCTATTAAAAGTCTTAGGTAAAAGGGAATTTTCTATTTGTTTGAGAGAAATATAAAATGTTCTATTCATTTGCTTTTAAATAGAGAATAAGAAAGGTAGTAAGTTTATTAAAGAGTAGAACAAACATTTATTAAGTGCTAAGCTCTTTTCATGTATAGCATTTAAACTCTCACAACAATCCCACAAGGCAAGCAACTACATTATCCCTATTTGTGAATGAGGAGAGTGTGCACAGAGAGGGCAAGTAACTTAAATAGTCACAGAGTCAGCCAATGGTGTGGCAGACCCATTCAGTTGGTCTGCAGTTCCTGAATCCAGGATCCCATAAATCACCCATGATATCAAACCCCTTCAGAGTAGGACCCTCCCCTGCTAAAGCACAAACAGCAAATGTTACACTGCTGGTCAAGGTGACATCCTGACAAGTAGGGGAGAAGAATGGGAGGAGGAGCTAGAGAAAGAAAATGAAAACACAGAGATGAAGTATAAGGATAAGAGAAGACTGAGAGGCAGAAAAACAGAAAGACAAGACATAGAGAAAGACAAAGAAAAATAAAGATGGAAGGAGGAAGTCTAACATCCTCAAAGTAAGTCCTTTTGAGAGCTGTGGCTAAAACACAAACACCAGAGGAAATTAGGATACCAACTAAATGAAAATGAGGAGGAATTTATATGGTATTTATATTAGCTGATATTTGTAAGGTAATGTTTTCAGTACTAATCAATGAGTAAGGAAAGTATTAGTCTCCAGTAGACTGTACTGAACAAATTCTATTAAATCCACTTATGCACATTTTAAAAATCTGAAATAATCACAGAAGGAAACAAAATATTGTCACATACGTTTCCAGGGATTTACTTCAAACAGTCCCTTATATGCATCAGCCACAAAGAGGGTCCCGTTGGGCCCCGCCCGAATGCCCAGGGGTCTCCCACAAGTAGGTTCGTTATCTCTGGTTTCTAGAAAAACAAATGGACAGAAATTGGTGGCTGGTCTTGATTCTGTGTGTGCTCCCATCAATATACAGGCACCTCATCTATCCCCTTCTAACTATGCACAGTGCTGTAGAGAACAAAAAAGATCATGGCATTGCAGACAGACCCACCCCCCAGTATTCTAGTCCCCTAGAATTTAAGACAATTTTCCAGCACGTCCAGAGAGATGACCTGAGAATCCAGATCTGGATATATGCAGAGCAACTGGTACCAAAGAATCATGTTCACATCAGCGCCCTGAGACTTGAACAGTTAACTCAGGGACATCATCAGGAATCAGGCTTCAATTCCAGAATCCCAGCAAAACCTCAGGAGTTGGGAGGTTAATCCCGACAGCCTCTCCATCTAGGAGCATGATGGTTTTCTCTCCATCTGGCATAGAGAGTTACTATTTTATTCCTTAGATTAACTCTCTTGCACTATTACCTACACTCTTTTAAAACCTGTGGCAACACGTATTTACTATAGGGTGCTTACTGCAGAGATCCTTACTCCAGGGCGCCTGCTGTGGGGTGCTAACTGAAGGGTGCCAGCTGTGGAGAGCTTACTGCAGGGTGCTTACTGTGAGTACTTACTGAAGGGTGCCCATTGTAGGATGTTTACTATGGAGTGTGCACTATAAAGTGCTCACTGCAGAGGAGCTTACAGCAGATGCAGGGGTGCCTGCCACAGAGTGCTTACTAGAGGTATTTAGAGCCAAAATATAGAAAAAGACAGGGTAAAGAACTACATATAGAGTATGAATCCATCCTATGATGTTGGGGACCACTTTGTATGGTATTGGGACTGTAGCCCCACGCAAGTCAGGCCCTGAGAAGGGTCCGTAAGCCTGAAGTGGAAAGCCAGGAATGCTGGAGGCAGACAAGACCCAATACTAGCACTGAGGGTTCCTGTGTGAGATTTGGCCTGAAACTTGCTCTGCTTAGTACAGCCCTGATAAGGAAAAGCCACGTGCCTGACTTCAAGGCTAGAAGGAAAATTCCTGAACCATGCCTGACTACCTGGCATCAGTATGTCTAACAGACCCTAACCTAAGGCTAATCTGTATGTTCTTTCTATTGTTATCTATAATCAAAGTCTGTTTTCTATTAACTATAACCCTATGTCACTGATTGATGAGCTATGCATGTATGCTGTATACTCCCGCACATCTTGTTTTCAATAAAAGACACTTCTGAGATGGGTTCAAGGCATTCTCCACTAGACAGGATCACCACCCCCTTCTCTTGACAGGCAAATTGTGTCTGGTACAATTTATTTCTTCATCCACAGTGGCCAGGAGGAGTCTGCGTGACAGGGCCTCCCTTACCACATAACCATGGATGGCTGTAAGTATCCATGAACAGAAAGATATCTGAAAAGTTATTCATTAAAATGTCAACAACAGTTACATCTGAAAAGGCTCTGGGTTGGTTTTTTCTTTCTTCTTTGTACCTTTGTGTTGTTTGCATTTCACAATGAAAATGCATCATTTTTACAAAAAAATTCTAGCTATTAGAAATAACTAATTAGCTATTAGTAATAACTAATATGAAGTCAGGGCTACCAGTGTTTGAACAATAAGATTCTTCCACTCTAGTTTTCTAAAATTGAAGCAACTTCAGTGTATTTTCACTCTGAATGACACTGCTGAATTTCTGAGACGCTAATGAAGGAATCACATTTAAGTATCCAAGTAATGACAAAGCTAACTGCTTTGCTCTACTAGCACTCGGACAACAACTATTAATCTTCAAGTTACCTCAAAAGTGAGCATGGGCCTCTGCAGAATGGCAAATGGTAGGGCTGAGAAGTAACCAGCATATGCCATGGCCATTGTCTTGCTGGGAAACTGAGGTGAAGGGTGACAACCAGGCACCATAAAGTCCAAGGACTACTGACAAATGAAGAGCGTGTCATAACTCCCAAATCAGGCTCTCTGCCAGGAGATCAGGGCTCTCTTTCCCCAAGGATGAACCTGACTTATTCAAAGCCACTTGGTACCTTTCTGAATGACTGGAAGAGACATACAAGGGGAGACTGTCACTGACTTACTGCATGGGCCTGACCCAAACTGGACGATGGTATCTACTTCACCGTTTTCAAATTTTACAACCCGGCCATCTGCTGTACCAGTAAACATCACATCTGTTTAAAAAAATAAAAAAAGAGTAAGAGTGTTACTTGGTTAACCTAAGAACTGTGATCATACTACCTTCTTCTACAACAAAAGTGGCTTATTGGTTTTTTTCATCTCCAGAGAAATGGCAGTTCCAAAGATGAGGGAGAAGTGATGTGTGGGAACAAACAGTCCTTAAAACATGCAGCAGTAAAATTGTGGGGTCCTGGGGCACCTGTGGGCTTGAGCCTGACAGCAGAGCAAAGGTGCAGTGACACCAGTCAGCGATAAAACCATGAAGCTTTTCTACTCTCTTGGCCTTGCCACTCAGGGACACGTGTTCATGTCTGCCTCATATCAGTGTCTGCTGTTGAAGCTAATATTATCCTACTAAAAGGAAAGAAATGCTAGGAAGTCCCTCAGGATAAAATTAAAGCATACTAGGTACCACTTCAGCAGGACATATATACTAAAATTGAAAAAATAGAGAGATTAGCATGGCCCCACACAAGGATGACATGCAAATTCATAAAACATTACATATTATTGATTTTATCCTCACCCGAGGACATTTTCTTTCTTTTCTTAGAGACAGAAGAAGGGAGAGGCAAACATCAACGCACGAGACAAGCATTGGCTGGTTGCCTCCTGTACACATCCAGACAGGATCTTTCGTACCTAGACCAGGAATCAAACCCCCAACTAGGTTACTGGAAAATGCCCAAACTAACTTGAGCCATACTGGCCCAAGGCATATTACATAATTTTAAAATGTATATTACAAATTCTAGGGCAAGCACAAAAAACAAGCTTTATAAAAGTAACTGATATGCTAAGAAAGGACAGAATATGGAATCATAGAAGCTACAAAAGGTAGACAGTAGAAGGCAAAATGAGGAACAAAACACAAGGGCAATTAATAGAAAACGGTAACAAATATGGTAGATACTAACCCAACTGCTTCAATTCTTATTTTAAACATCAATGGTCTCAATATACCAATTAAAAGACAGACTTAAAAACCACAGTAGGTAAGAAGAAAAAAAAGAAACAGCTATAAATTGTCTACAAGAAAGCCATTTTAAATATAAGGAAACATATACATGAAAAATAGAAGACTGGACAAAAATCATGTCAACACTTAAAAGAAAGCTAAAATAATTATATTAATTTCAGACAGACAACTTCAGAGCAAGGAAAATTGTCGGGGGGGTGGGGGGGGAAACATTAAAATACATATATCAATCTATTATTAAAGTTGGAGACTTCAGCAAAATACATAGTTGAACTAAACAGCACCATCAATCAATTGAATATAATTGAAATCTATCAACTAGGTAATCCAACTGGTGAGAATATACATTCCTCTCAGGCTCACATGGAACATTCTATTAGACTGTTAGAAGATGTTCTGGAGTGCTCGCTTCAGCAGCACATATACTAAAACTGGAATGAAAAAGAGAAGATTAGCATGGCCCCTGGGCAAGGATGACACACAAATTTGTGAAGTGTTCCATATTTTTTGGAAAAAAATTTTCCAATCAAATGGGAAAGAAAAGAAAGCAGGGGTAGCAATACTTATATCAGATAAAACACATTTCAAAACAAAGGCCATAAAAACAGACACAGAGGGACACTTTATAATACATAAAGGAAGAATCCATCAAGAAGATACAAACATTGTAAACTGATATGGGCCCAACATAGGAGCACTAAACTATGTAAAGAAAATCGAGGAGGACTTCAAAAAAGATATAGAGAGCAACACACTGACAGTAGGGGATTTTAACACCCCACTGTCAAAAATGGAGAGATCTTCCACACAAAACATCAAAAAGGATATTGTGGAGCTGAATGACGCATTAAATCAAATGGAGTTAACTAACATATACAGAACCTTACATCCCAAAGAAGCAAAATACACATTATTTTCAAATGTGCATGGAACTTTTTCAAAGATAGACCACATGAAGAGACACAAAAGCAAGCCTCAGCAAACTCAAGAAAATTGAAATAATATGAAGCATTTTCTCGGAACACAAGGGCTTGAAACTGGAAATAAAACTCAAAGAGAAACCTCAAAAACTTGCAAACTCATGAAGACTGAACAGTAGACTATTAAACAATGAATGGGTCAGTAATGAGATAAGAGAAGTCAAAAAGTTTCGGGAAACAAATGAAAATGAATATACAACAGTCCAAAACCGATCGGACACAGAAAAGGCAGTCCTGAGAGGGAAGTTAATAGCAACACAGGCTTACCTGAAAAAGAAACATTTCAAATAAAGACCTAACACTACAACTTTAAGAACTGGAGAAACACCACCAAATAAATCCCAGAGCAAGTAGAAGGAAGGAAATAGTCAAGATCAGAGCACAACTGAATGATAGAGACAAAAAGAACAATTCAAAGGATCAACGAAACCAGGAGATGGTTCTTTGAAAAGATAAATAAAATCGACAACCCTTTAAGCACATTCATCAAGACAAAAAGGGAGAGGACCCAAATTAATAATATAAGAAATGAAAGAGGAGAAATAACAACAGATACCACAGAAATACAAAGGATTGTCAGAAACTACTATGAACAATTATATGCCAAGAAATTTAAAAACCTCAATGAAATGGACAAATTTCTAGAAAAGTATAACTTCCAACACTGAAGGAGGAAGAAACAGAAAGCTTGAACAGACATAACAGCTGGGGAAATTGAGGCAGTAAAGAAACTCCCTGCACACAAAAGCCCTGGGCTGGATGGTTGCATAGGAGAATTTTACAAAACATTTAAGAAGAGCTAACCCCTGTCCTTCTCAGGCTACTCCAAAAAATCCAAGAGGAGGGAAGACTCCCAGACTCTTTCTATGAGGCCAGCATCACCCTAATCCCAAAACCAGATAAAGACCCTACAAAGAAAGAAAACTACAGGCCAATTTCACTGATGAACATAAACACTAAAATCCTCATCAATATATTGGCAAATCACATCAAGCAACACATTAAGAAGATTATCCACCATGATCAAGTGGGATTCATCCCAGGGATGCAGGGATGGTTCAAAATATGCAAATCAATAAACGTAATACATCACATAAACAAAAGGAAAGACAAAAACCACATGATCATCTCGACAGACGCAGAAAAAGCATTCGATAAGGTACAGCACCCGTTTACAATAAAAACACTCAGCAAAATGGGAATAAATGGGGCATACCTCACATAATAAAGGCCATACATGAAAAACCTACAGGCAACATCATTCTCAATAGGCAAAAACTAAAACCTTTCCCACTAAGATGGGGAGCAAGACAAGGACGTCTGCTCTCACCACTTCTATTCAACATAGTATTGGGAGTCCCAGCCACATTGGTCAGACAAGAGAAAGAAATAAAGGCATCCAAATTGGAAAGGAGGAAGTAAAACTATCATTATTTGCAAATGACATGACAGTCTACATAGAAAACTCTGTAGACTCCACCAAAAAAACTACTCAACCTAATAAGTGAATTTGGCCAAACAGAAGGCTACAAAGTCAATATTCAGAAATTAAAGGCATTTTTGCACACCAACAATGAAATAGAAGAAGAAATCAGAAAAAAAATACTATTAGATACAGTAACAAAAAATATAAAGTACTTACGAATAAATTTAACCAAGCAGGTAAAAGACCTGTACACAAAAAAGTATATAACATTCAAGAAAGAAATTAAGGAAGACACAAATAAATGGAAGCATATACCATGCTCATGGATTGGAAGAATTAATATCATCAAAATGTCCATGCTACCCAAAGCAATTTAAAGATTCAATGCAATCCCTATTAAAATACCAATGGAGTATTTCACAGAAATAGGACAGACATTTCAAAAATTTATATGGAACCATAAACGACCCCGAATATCCAGAGCAATTCTGAGAAAGAAAAACAAAGTAGGAGGGATCACAATACTGGACATCAAACTATATTACAAAACCTCTATAATCAAAACAATCTGGTACTGGCACAAGAACAGACCCACAGACAAGTAGAACAGAATAGAAAGCCCAGAAATAAGCCCAGGTCTATATGGGCAACTAATATAAGACAAAGGGGGCAGAAGCATAAAGTGGAGTAATAATAGCCTCTTCAACAAATGGTGTTGGGAGAGCTGGATGGCTACATGCAAAAAAATTGAAATTGATCATCAGCTGACACCATGCACAAAAATAAACTCAAGATGGATAAAAGACTTAAATTTTAAGTCACAACACCATAGAAGTCCTAGAGGAGAACATTGGCAGGAAACTCTCAGATATCCCATGCAGCAATTTTTTTACAGATATGTCTCCTACAGGAAGGGACATAAAGGAAAGAACAAACAAGTGGGACCTCATCCAAATAAGAATCTTCTGCATGGCTAAAGAAAACATCAGCAAAATGAAAAGGGAGCCAACCATATGGGAAAAAATATTTGCTAATGATACATCAGATAGAGGTTTGATCTCCAAAATATAAAACAAACTCACACAACTCCACTCCAAGAAGACAAACGATCCAATCAAAATATGGGCAAAGGACCTGGCAGACACTTTTCCAAGGAAGAGATACAGAGGGCCCAGAGACATTTGAAAGGATGCTTGGTATCACTAGCCATCAGAGAAATGCAGATCAAAACCACAATGAGATACCACTTCACACCGGTCAGAATGGCCATCATAAACAGATCAACAAAACAGGTGCTGGCAAGGCTATGGAGAAAAGGGAACACTAGTACACTGCTAGTGGGAATGCAGACTGGGGAAGCCACTGTGGAAAACAGTTTGGAATTATCTCAAAAAGCTGAAAATGGAACTGCCTTTTGATCCAGTGATTTCCCTGCTGGGACTATACCCTAAGAATCCCAAAACACGAATTCAAAAGAACCTATGCACCCCAATGTTCAAAGCAGCACAATTTACAATAGCCAAGTGTTGGAAGCAACCTAAATGCCCATCAGTAGATGAGTGGATCAAAAAATTATGGTACATTTACACAATGGAATACTACGCAGCAGAAAGAAAAAAAAGAAGTACTACACTTTGCTATAGCTAGGACAGAACTAGAGAGCATATGCTAAGCAAAATAAGCCAACGGGCGAAGGACAAATATCATATGATCTCACCAATAAGTGGAACCTAACCAACAAAACAAAGATGCAGGGAAAATAAGACCAGCAACACTAAAAGAAAAAAGAAACCAACAGAGACAAGAGGGAAGGAGGGAGTGGTGGGCGGAGGGAGAAGGAAGGGAAGGGAAAGTCAAGGAACATATAGCAAGGACTCATGGACAAAGCCAACGTCGGGAAGGATTGAGGGAGGGAAAGAGCAGCGGGAGGTAGGGGAAAGTGGTGGGGGGTCAGCAGAGACAAATGTTTTTTTTAAAATAATTTTTTTAAAAAGCAATACATTCTGGAGAATAAAGCACGTCATAACAAATTAAAAAAGCTAGAAATTATATAATGTCTGCTCTCAGACCACAAAGGAATTAAACTAGGAATGGGGAACAGAAAGAAAGCTGGAAGAATCACATTATACTTGTAGATTAAGTAACACACATTTCTATATAATACATAGGTCAAAGAAGAAATCTCAGGAGAAATTTTCAAAAAACTGAATGAAATGAAAATAAGAAAAAATTATCAAAATTTGTGGAATGCAGCACAAGAAGTGCTTTGAGAGAAATTTTCAGCACCAAATGCATATATTAAAAGAGACATCTAAAATCAACCACCTAGTCCTGGCTGGTATGGCTCAATGGACTGAGCACTGGCCTGTACACTGAAAGGTCGCCAGTTAGATTCTGAGTCAGGACACATGCCTAGGTTGTGGGCTAGGATCCCAGTTGGGGGCATGCAAGAAGCAACCAATCAATGTTTCTCCTGCACATCAATGTTTCTCTCCCTCTCTTTCCTCCTCTCTCTAAGAAAATAATTAATATAAAATAAAATAAACCATCTAAGCTTCCATCATAGGAAACAAGAAAATGAAGAGAAAATTATATCCAAGAGAAGGAAAAGAAAGAAATAGTAAAAATTACAGTATCAATGAAACTGAAAATACAAAATCAATATAAAAAAAAATCAACAAAACTAAAAAATAGTTAATTGAAAGGACCAATAATATTGATAATCTTCTATCCAAACTAAGGTAAAAAATAAAAAAAGAGAGAGAAAATGCAAATTACCAATGTCAAAAATAAAAGAGGGAACAACACTAGATTCTACAGACATTAAAAAGATAATAAAGTATTACAAACAACCCTATACCTATAAATTTGATCATCTACATGAAAATTAACCAATTCAAGAAAAATCAAGATGGTGGGGGAGTTAATGGAAATCACACTGACTTGCTGCCAGGACCAATCTAGAATTACAACTAAATTGTGGAGAAATCACCTGGAACAAACAACTGAACAACAGCGAGAGAGGAGCCTTATAACCTTGGACAGGCAGAAGAATCAGATTTAGCACAACCTAACTGGTAAGGAGTGCGGCAGAGACTAAAG